AATATTATTATAAATACTTACTTAGTCATTTTTTCAAGAAAGTTAGTCAAAACTTTTATTCTTCAATTAATTCAAAATGATTTTCATGCTTTAATGTATTAAATTGGTTCAAGTTATTTTAAAATGAATTAAATAAATTTTAATTAATCTAGTTTTATTAAAATTCTAATCACTTGTATTTCGAGTCAAATGTTTCATTTTTGGATCCCTTTCTCTAAAAAATAAAATAAAATATAAAAATATAAAATGTGTCATTTATTTAATTATTTTTCTTAAAGTTAATCAAATATTATAAAGTATTATTCTTATGTTAAATCATTTTTCTAAAAATAGTCAAAATATATTTTAGTCAAATCGCAGGTCAACCGCATGTTAGCGGGCACTTCGAATGCTTAAACCTTCTCGAAGTGTAAATTGAACCCCGAACCCTCTTTGGTATTTTCAAATGATTTTTTCTGTTTAAATCTTTGAAAATTATAAGTTTTCTTAATTTCTTTAAAAAATTAAGTGGCGACTCTTTTCTAAGTATTTCTCAAATTGCTTTATACTTAGAGCATTTCAAAAAGTGATTTTTCTAAAGGTTAGTAAGATCACGACACGACAAGTGCCAGCCACGTCCAGGGTGTAGGCTCGGGGAGTGACAAAAATAAAATAGGAATATTTGGTTTCCTTTTTTTACTCAATCACTTATAATTAAATCAAAAATCAGATTTTATTTTTTTTCAAACGTTTCTCTCTCCCTCTAATTTTTTTCTGTCAATTTGTTTTCCTTTTTTACTCAATTAGTTAAAATTAATTCAAAAATCAGATTTTATTTTTTATTCAAATGTTTCTCAGTCCCTCCATTTTTTTTCCTGTGATTGTCATCATTCACGACTAATTCCAAAATATTCTTGGTTCAAAAATCTTTATTTTGTGGTAATGGACGGATTCTTATCGATATTAATAAAACATGGTGGTAGATGGGATCATTCTGGTTAGTACTCATTGCGATTTATTATTTGTATTTTTATTCCAACTTCAAAAAAATAAATTTAAGAACAATGAAATTAAAAATGAAATTTTCGAATTTCGGTTGTCTATAATAGATTTAAATTGTAATTTTTTTGTATGAACCTTCGTTTGTTTCATATTACAAAATATTTTTGTGAAAATTGAATAAACGATGTTATGAGTTTTTTGTATACTGGTTTTTGTAATTTGTACACTGTAAACACCATGGATGTGGCGATTTTGTATTTATATTTGAATGATTTGATTATATTATTTCGTGTGTGTGAAATAGTGATGATGTTATCGTTATAAATATATGAAATGTGTGTAAAAAAATAAATGTATGAAATGTGCTTTATGGTATGAATTTTGGTAGACTGTTTGGAATGATATTGATATGAATAAGTAATGACGAGTGTCTATAAATTTGTGTGATAATAATGAAGTTGTGGATGAAATTTGTATTAGGTTGGTATGAAATTTGAATATAAATACAACATATTTTATTATTCCTTTGTATTATGTACGACAGACTGTTATTTTTTATGAAATGTGTTTTATGGTATGAATTATGGTAGATTGTTTGGAATGATATTGGTATGAATAAGTAATGACAAGTGTGTATAAATTTGTGTGAGAAGAATGAAGTTGTGGATGAAATTTGTATTATTATGGTATGAAAAGTGAATATAAATACAACATATTTGTTATTCCTTTTGTATTATGTAAGACTGACTGTTATTTTTTTTAATGAAACAGGGAAATATTTTGATTTTCAGATGGAGGGAATTATCTATGAATCTTCCAGTCTGTATAGTGGTCTAGTAAATGCGATAACATCACAACTTAGGATAGATGTTAATATTAAGTCAAATTTAAGTATGAAAATGGTATCTATTTGGTATCCAACTGAAGTCCCATTGATTAGAAAAACATGTAATTGATATTTCAACCGAATTAGCCAACCTAAACTAGTTAATGTTGTATCCAATTGGTATACACTTGGTATCAAACTGATGTCCCACTGGAATTTTTAAAAAAAAATAATAATTGAGATTTCAAACGAATTAGCCAACCTAAGACTAGTTAATGTAATTTCTAATTGGTATCCATTTGCTATCCAACTGATATCCCATTGGAAAATAGAAAAAACACGACGTAGTTGAAATTTCAACCAAATTAGCTAACATAAAACTAGTTATTGTTGTATCCAATTGGTATCTATTTGGTATCCAACTGATATCCAGTTGAAAAAATAGAAAAACTAAGATGTAATTGAGATTTCAACCAAATTAGCCAACCTAATACTAGTTAATATTGTATCCAATTAATATCCATCTGGAAAACCTAAGTGTAACCATGTATACAGTTGTCCTATAAAAAGAATCTCAAAATATTTTAATTATTACTATGTTTATGATGTGTTTTTCAAAACTAAAAATTCAATATAAATCTGGCTTATGCTGATATCCAATTTGTATACACTTGGTATCTGACTTGAAAATTTAAGACATAGACTAAAAATAAAAATGTATGAAGTTGGTATCCAACTGATATAAATCTAGGAAGAATAAATTTGATAATGTAAAATAATGCATAGTATATATTGTTGTAAAAAACTGTAGCAAAAACAAATATACATCATCTAAAAATTAAAAAGCATGTAATAATTAAAAGTCTAAGCTACAATCAACTATCTCAAATATGTTTTTCGTGGTCTTGGTGTAGGATATTGATAGTATCCGGAGCATGTTCATTTGCTATGCGGGTCCCACCAAATTTGCTAGCAACAGTTTCAGTTACTTCACTCTCACTAATTGCACCATCAACAAACTTGTTTCTTCCATACTATAGGATTGTGGCGTATCTTTGACGATGGTACTTTGCATCGATATCAATGGGACCCATATCAAAAACTCCATTGCTAATATATTCAACAAATAGACATGGGTACATACCACAATCACTGAAACAACATTGAATAAAAAATCACAAAAAGATAGAAATACATATAAATTTCATATTAATTTTTATCCCCATTTCACCAACTTCAATCGGAAAGCAATTTAAATACAACTGTGGAAAAGTCATACCAGATTTATACAAACTTCATGCCAATGCACAACCATATTAATACCAAAAAAAATCATACCAGCTATATAGTATATCAATTTCATGTCAAAAATATACTCAATCTGATCATATACAACTTTACCGGGGTTTGTTTCTTCCTGGGAGTGGTAACACACTTGTTCGTCGGATTCGCATTCTTGTTGGTATTGGCGGCGTTTGAGTCAAGATGTTAAAAGATGAAAGCTCAATTTCAACATTAGAAACCTCTTCTAACGAATCTGGGACCTTTCTAAGTGTATGTTGACGTTTTTGATTCTTCAACATGTTTTTTGTCAACCTAAACTCTTGATTCTTTGTATTGTTTAGAAGATTTGTCCTTTTTTGAGTGTACAAAGAAGAAGAATGAAGATGATGAGAGAGAGAGATTTACTGTTCTTCTTTTGGATGTACAAAGAAAAAGAATGATGATGGTGAGAGAGAAAGATCTACCATTTGAGTAAATGTTGAACGTGAATAGTAAAAGAATCCCTAAAAAGGTGTAATAATAATTATGTGTGGAAGGTAAAAAAAACCCTAAAAAAGTGTAATAGATAATTACCATTGATTCTCTCTTATTAATTTTATTTATCTCACCTATTAATTAAAATATAATTATAAAAGACTAATTATTTAATGAAGTGGAATTAATTGAATTATAAATAAAAAATGATCTGTCATAACTTGCAATTAAAATGTTATAAGTAGTAATATTTTAAAAGTAAATTTAAAACTTGTAATATTACTCCTTAAATAGATGTGTGAGGTGATTTTTCCTATATTTTTTTATCAGCGCTTTTATTAGATCACATTCACTTATAATATATAACAAGTATTTTAAAAAAATTGTTACTAATTTTTTTTGTACAAAAATAAACTAACAATCTCTGTTAAAAAAATGACTGCAGATATATGAACTAAAATCGAACAAAAAAACTATGAAATAACAAATTTGAATTTATTTGATTTTATTAAAATGCTAGTAATTGAAAAATACTGGATTTTTTAAAGTTAATTTAATATTATTAAAAATGGTGAATAATAAGAATACTTTTAATATTCAATAAAAAAAACGTTATCAGTTATTTTGACGAAAAAATTATTTATTAATATTTTTATTACGTATATCAACGACTTAATTATATATTTGAGAGTTGGATAATTGTTAGAAATAAAAAGAATAAGAAAATGAAAGAAAAGAGGAGTAAGTGTAAGAGGGATGCTAAAAGAAAAGTTAAAAAATAGACCCACTATCTAAGTGTCAAACAACTAAATGAGCCTCACGCAATTATTGTTGGTTACCATTTTAAAAATTTTCCGTCTTTTACGCTACAAATGTCAAACTAGTATTGAAATTTATTGCCTTTGCTTGCTTTAGGTACGTATCCTCATCTGCTTAACCATTGAACATACAATAATAAGGAACATTGACTTTTTATCGAAAGAATCAGGGCGTACTACGTGATGACACATAAAACTATACTACGTGCATTTTAAATGGAGACGTTCACTATGTGTATTTGTTAAAAACTAAATAAACTCATCAAGTAATTGTACTCCAAATCTACTGACTAACTAGTGTAAGAGGATACATAGTTAATTAAATTCAAAAAGTGGCACTTATAATGATTTGTGAATATTGCTGACTATTTTATTTAACACAATTTTCTTAAAATTAAACTTATACCAGTAGGGTATACGTAGAAGAATAACAACGACATGCATATAAAAAAAATATCATAATTCTCTAGAGTACACAAAGACACGTTCACATGTGAATGATCTAAACTAAAGTTTTATCAATGGGGGAACTCAAATAGTTGTCTATAGCAAATTTTTCATATAATTTTTGATGACGTGATCAATGAGAATCCTATAACCTTTCTCCGTGGGATGGAAACTATCCCAGAACAAATATTTCGTATCATCTTCACATGTTGCACTATATTTGTTGCATAGTGCGCTCACCTCTATCGTTCCTGTACCACAACACCCTTTCTCGACTTTCTTCAAAACCTATAATTAATCAACCAAATCGCAAATAATCAAAATTCAGAGTCTAGAGATATGAATTGAAAGAAGCATATAGTATACATACCGTATTTTGTACTGTTGACAATGAAATCAGTTACAAGATTATATATATCGATGAAAAACAACTTGGACTGAGGCAATGTTTTTGATAATAATTCAAATGCAACTCCGAATTTGGTGTTGGCCAATTGTGCATCTTGATTGTATTCATCGACACAAACTCTAGATATTATTCCACCTAGTAGTGTTCTTTGAAAGGGCACACATCCTAATGGAGGAAGCCCCATAACCCCAATTCTTCTTGCACCCAACTTATACAATTCCTTACAAAAAAAATAAATCATGTGATTTTGGAGAATCAAAACATAAATATGTATATTTATTTATAGGTTTACGTACTTGTACGAAATTTGAAGCCCATGACACGATATGATCGATATAGGAGTTAATATCGTATTGATGCTTTCGAAATCCGGTGACATAGTAGTTGTTGAGAAAATCATTACTACCAGCAACCACCATATAAAAACTGTTGTTTAAAATATGTGTGGCTTCTTGTTTCCCAACTAAGCTCTTTAGCTTCTCAATGTATTCTTGGAAGAGAGTTAATTGATCTGATAGATGTAGGATTGACTGATAAAACATAATCAAGAACATTAAACAAAGGATTAGTGTTGATTGTTTGGACACAAATAAGGTGTTGGGTATAATGAAAAATTATATTCTAGTGTTTGGTTAAGTGAAAATGTTTTCATAAATAAATAAATCATTTTCCATCATAATAGGGGAAATGACTTGGTTTACTTATAATGAGGCTATTATTAATCTTTGGAAAAATTACATAAACATACAACTTAAAATATCATAATCTCTAAAATTTTCTATCATTTAAAAAAATTACAAAAATCCCTTAGCTTCTCGCGATACATGCATATCCCCTCTTGGATACATCCTTATCGCTTCTCGGATACATACCTCCCATTAAGAAATGTATCATTTGCAATGTATCGAATAACCAAGGAATGTATTCGAGAGCAATGAAAAATCTGAAATTTTTGTAATTGAGAAAACTTCCGAGATAGGATGTAATTAGCCACCAAATATATATTTTTTAAATTACTTTTGTCATATCAAACACTGGTCAACAACAACACAAATATGAATAAAGATTGCTTATAATTAGTATAGCTCTCAAAAGGGGGATAAAATGAGTAAGAACTTACCAGGGCAGAACCTGTTAGAGGATCATATCCGCAGCCTCCAGATGCAAAACTTACACCAGTTTTGAGATCTTCATCCTTTAGATTTGGATCCAAATAAGCTGGAATAAGCCCTTTGATCCCCAGTTCTTCAGCTGAAATGCACAACAAGTAGCCATGTCAAACTCCTTTAATTTAACATTTAAGGATTGCATGCATTTCAATAAATCCTCCACGAGGTATTGGTAAGGTCTGCTACCCTCTCCGGACTCTACTTTATGGAATTTCACTGGATATGTTGTTGTTGTAGTATGCATTTCAATAACAATGATAACTAGTTATAATAGTTTAAATTACACCCAGGACAACTTTTAGTGTGTAACTTAACAAGATATGTAAATATGTTAGGTACATATTTCTTAGAATTAATTTAATATTACCTCATACTACAAAAAGGTTTAGTGGTACACTTAAGATGAGTTATTTAACTAAGAAGAACAAAGGTCAATTTCACTTAATGTATTTTTTTCTCTTTTCTTTAAATAGTGCACTTATATTTTAAATATCTTCGATTCGCCTCTGATGCATATAAGTTACTATTAAATAGTAGGTGATCGATACCTATCAAGTCCGGTGGCGTCTTGGCATTACTAAACCTTCCAGTTGGTATGCTATCCCTTAAGTCCTTTCCATAAGGTGGAAAATTACACTTGACTGTCGTGGCTAAGTAGTTATTATTTCCTTGATCCACAATTGAGTCTCCAAATGCATACACCGCCGGTACAACCGCCTTTTCCGGCAGCTTCACCTTAGCTTCACTGATGCAGGCACTAAACAACAATGCTTGACAAACAACAACATACAACATTGTATAGGATGAGTTGGTTTGTTGAAATTAAGAGAATGTCCAATGATGTTGAAATAGGCCCTTATATATGTTTACTTATATATAGACTTGCAAAAAAGTTACGGTTTTGAAAAATAGTTGTATTGATTGTTAGGTGAGTTAATGAGGTGTACGTACTAATTGCGGCTCAATTATTATAATAGCGAGTTAGAGTAAGCTAATGATAATGATGTTTATAAGGAGTCGATCATCTCATTAACCATCAATATGAAACTTTTTGTCATTTTGAAACCATATTGTTGTGTAATTAATACACACATCATTCAATTATTAAACTGATAATGATGCTTACTGACTTTTTTAATGCCAAGCTCAATTGTTGTAGAGGAGGTGCAGAATAATGGAATAAGGTAGTACTATTAGCTAAGAATTCTAAAAGTAATACTTTGATACGATTCTAAGGGCACTAGCTAGTCCATATGGGACATGTGAGGATTTGCACCACATTAAGTCTTGGTAAAGTTTTCCCCTTTGTGCCAATTAAACTACATATATCATTGCCTTTTCATACCAATTAGACTACAATTTGCAAAAGTGGTCCATATAATTATCATACCAATTAGACTACAATTTGATATGGACCGCAAAATTAAGGTTATTAATTGAGAAGAATAAGAAGAGGACGGCCTACATTTGTTGTGAGAAATATAATGTAAATAACATATCAAGTGACTGAAAGTACCATTGTGTAAAAAAGTTGCACAAATTTAATTGCTTCTCAAGAAAAAAATGAAGTTATAGATTGTATAGGTGGTACGTGTTGGGATGGGTCTTGAGGTGTACTACTTTAATTTATTTGTCTATTTCGCTTGCGAATATACAACTATGATAAATATATACAAATTTTATATTTGTAGATTTAGAAATTTTCAGAATTCGATTTGTATATTTCGCTTGCCAATATTCAAACAAGGTAATTTATTATGAATTTTTCATAAATCGTATACAAATAGCTAGGATAAACATATACAAATTCTGAATTTATACAATTAGGGACCGAATTATACAAATTCTGAATTTATACCATTAGAAAACTGAATAGCAAAATTTTGCGAAACTATAGTCACGAATTAAAAATAATCGAAACTATAGCTATATTACATAATATACTCTAGATATTTGCCATTTCACGTAATTTTCCCTAATTTGTTTATATAATTTTCTTATATCGGCCATCAAGATAATAGACAGTATATACAATAGTGTCTTTTATATATTTGGCTAATGAATATAATTATTTTTTTGCCAACCGATCAAAATATCTCATGCAACAGTGAACAGGGGCAGAATGATGACTTCTAACATTGCGGAATGTATCAATGGTTGCCTTGTTGAGGCACGACAACTACCTGTTTTGGATTTTTTGGAAGAAGCTAGAATTCTATTTGGTTCTTGGAGCTGCAAAAATAGAGAAATAGCATCTTAGGGCATCTCCAACCCTATCCTCTATTTTACTCTCCAAATATAGAGTTCATTATTTTTCAGACAACCAACTCCAACCCAATTCTCTATTTTACTCTCTAAAAAAAGAATTTTTTTCTCTCTCCTCAATATTATATTATTTATTTCTATTTCATTCTTTATTTTTTTATTTCATAATATAAATCATTTCTTCTTTTTGCAAATAATCACTCTATAATTTTTATGTAATACAATTTTTTTTCAAATTCTTCATTTTAATATAAAATTATATTTTATTCTAAATTTCGAAATAACATAAATTGCAATAAATATTATATATAATACATATTAAGGAACAATTCAAATAAAAGTGAAATGATTGATGAGATATAATTGCATCATAAATATTGTATTATCATAAAATTTATTTTAAATTTTACATAAATACTCAACTTTTAAGACTATTAGGTTACTCTCATGAATAGGGGTATGCATCGGTTAATTCAGTTTTATGTATTATCGGTTATATTTAAAATGACAAAAAAAAATTAAAAAAAAAATTAGAAAAATTGTTAATTCGGGATGGAAGTAGTATACTTATCAATAATATGTTTTAGATGTTATATTACTTAGAAGATAATTACAAATATTAGAGACTTAATTAATAATCTTATATAATATAAATAATTTTAAAATAACTTTAAATTACATATTTAAAGTGACCATTTACTTTTTAAAAATAAAATAGAAAAATTATTAATTTGCGGAAATAGTAACTTATTAATAATATATTTTTAAATGTTATATTACATTAGAAAATAATTACAAATGATAAAAACTCAATTAATAATATAATAGAAATAATATTATAATAATCAAAAAGTAAAATAGAGAGGTGAATAGTAGTTCTCCAAATTTGAAGAACTACTATTCACCCGATCTCTATAATTGAAGAATAGAGAGTGGTTGGAGAACCCATTCTCTATTTTACGCTCCAAATATAGAGAATGGAGAGTAAAATAGAGATGAGTTGGAGATGGTCTTATACAAAGGAAACATTAGGGAGGAGATTTGAAGATATATTGATTATAAACGCGTCAAAATGTGCGAAAATGAAGGTACTTATACATATATCAATTATTATGTATCTAGCTTAAATTTTCTTTAGATTGTTGTGTATACCAAACGATAAATCATGTAATGTATCTCTAACTTGTAAATTATTGCAGGTTGTTCCATCTTTTGAATTTATTTTTTCAATGTATGAAGGTGGGATAAGATACATTGTTTGCCTTGAGAGAAAGAGTTGTTCTTGCGGTAAATTTCAACATGATGAGATACCTTGTGTGCACGCAATTGATGTTTTCAAGAAGAAGAATATTACTGATGTACACCCCTACTGCTCTGATTACTATAAACCCGATGCATTAGCAAACACATATGCAGTTCATATGGAATCAATGCCAGACAAAAGTGATTGGACAATTCCGGAAAGTGTTTTGGAAGAAGTTGTCTTGCCACCAAGATACAAAAGAATGGCTGGTAGACCAAGGAAAAAAAGGAAGAAATATCCAGAAGAAAAGCTAACCGCAAATACGAATTGTTGTGGACGTTGTGGATAAGAAGGTCACAATAGAAGAACATGTACTTTCTTCCCAAAAGATTCTTGATGATTATTTTTTCGGAGTACTTTGATATTTCATGTTTAATAATTCTCAAAGTGTAGCATTTGTTTCAACTGTTACACACATATACATTACAAGGTACTTTTATCTTACTAGATTCTGATGCAATACATTGAATTGACACGTTTATCAATGAGTTTTATATTTTTTGCTTGTTGAACTCTGTCAAAGTTAATTTATATATATATTATGTATCTAATACTTAAATTTGTGAAACTTTTGCATCGGATATTCAATTAGTATCAATTGATGTGATTTGTACCCAAAGGTATAAGAGACAACATGTAAAATTTACTAAATATAGTGAAATTATATGAGATTGTATCAAGTTTAGCAATATGGTATGATGTGTTGTGATACTTAATAAATTTTCTTATCATGATACATAACTATTGTGTGTAATGTATATAAATTTCTTTTTGATAAATCATATTACTTAATAATATAGTATCAAGTGCTGTGATTTGTACCAAATGTTGTAAGAGTCGGCATGTAAAATTAACTGACGTGCAAGTGTAAAACAAACAAGTTTGTTATTTTGTAGGAAATTTTATATCATGTACATAATAATTGTTTTAAAAATTTCTAATCATGTGTATCAAAATTATCAGATACATTAATGTCATAGTTTTCAAACACAAAATTTCATTAATGTAATTATTATCATACTTATCAGATATAATAATGTAATTATTATCATACTTATTGGATACAAATTTTTATGAAGTACTAATTGTACTGAACAGAAAATTAAAAGCGAAAATAAACAATTTTAAACCACAGAACTCTTCCAAATTTAAAACTATTATGTTAAAAGGGTAATAAATACTCCAAAACACTAATTAATGTATCTTAAAAAATAATTAAGCATCAACAACTGTCTGTGAACAGGAACATAGAAAACTAGCTAGCCTACATTAACAAGTTCATTTTCTGTTGCTGGAGTTAAGACACTTTTCAGCCTTGGAGGTTCATCATTGTCGCTAACATATCCCGCCTTGGTCTTATCGAGACCATACTTTCATAACAGTGTTGCATATCTTTTGTGAAGATAGTCACTTCGAAAACTATCATATTGGATGTTGATTTCGTCACTCAAGAATTCAGCAAATGCAGCTACGAACATTCCGCAATCACTACAAAAAATAAGAAGATTAATTATAAGAATGATTTAGATACAAAAATTAGAGAAATAATGATACAATACTGACAGACTATCGCTTTCTTATTGCATAATGTCTTGAGCAAATTCCACATCAAATGAATGTTGTGGACCCAAAAGTTCCCCAGTTTTCTTGTCTTTATATGCGTCCAATGTTGCCCAATCAGTTCTCTCTGTCTTTTCAAAGAACCCACTATCATGAAGGTAGTTTGGAAGGATTTGAGACAACTTCTTTATGTCTTCGAATTGAACTTTTCTCCTTAATCCCGAATCTGAGTCATACACCCGTATTAGCCTTTTCCTTAGAACCACCACAACCAACACCCAATGAAATTCCTCATCACAGTTTACTGGAATGTAAACCTCATCTACTAAATGCCATGGTAAAGCAGCAGGGATCGAAAATTCATTGATGACGTTAATGATAGACCTTTTATGAACAGATACAGCAACACCACGGGCAATGTGTTCATGTGTACTAATAATTTCATCTGTAGGACTGTTATAATACCTTGTGTGTGCATTGTTGATATGAGACTTAAACCAGCAATTGACTGTTGTGTATTTGTACTGATCCATGCTTCTTTGTTTAGACTTCTTGCGTAGATAGTAAAAGATTACATCTATGTGCTGCAAAATATAGAAAACAACATAATACATAAAATCAACACAATATGATAAAAAAGATATGATACATGAAAAAAATTAGCAAACACAATAACTAATT